ACTACATCAGGAACAGAAGGTTTGTTTACTTAATTATGGAACTACATTAGGGCCAGGTTTGCTTAACTATTTTGCCAACAGGCAGAAAGTGTTGACTCCAAACAGATAATGGCAAAATTATTACCAAAGCTCTCACAATCTCACACTTACTAAGGGATCAGTCTCAGCTACTGCCACACCAAACTTTTGTTGATAGTGACTATCGTTTCCATCTTTGTGCTTTTAGGGTCAGTTCACTGAGGTGGCCATCTTGAATTAGGTTCACTCCTACACCTACTAAGTTGTAGATGTATATCCATTAATTTCTGCAAGTTACAAGTTTGTCCAGTGGTTTATGAGTTAGACATACTGCTAAAAGAAGACACAGAGACATTATCGCCTGCCGACTAAACCTGCCATGAAAGAATGGAGAGAACGTTCTATTTCATATAGGCTTCGCCCTTTAAGGCTGTCGCTGATGGTTTATCCCGTTATGCGCAGCATAAGCACTGAAAAAAATTAGTCCACGCCCACCTGCTGTGTGGGCCCCACCCGGTCCGTATAAATTACGTTAAGAGCGGGAAATCGGCTCCCATTTTTTCTTCAGCGAGCTAATATAGCACTGTCAGAAGAACAAAGAAGATAAATTGTGTAAATGACCAACCTTGTGAAGGATGCTTGGCCCGGCAGTCGACCTCCGGTCGTCCGGTGAGTTCTCCTCCCCGAGGAGAAGATGACAGCAGTCTTATTCCAAGGTAAGCGTCCGGGAACATTTCCCAGTGACAGGTCATTACACGCTGGACAACGCCATCTTGTGTTTTTCCTCTTATCGCCGACCCTCGGGGCGAACCGGATGGTTCCTCCGGGGCAAGGTGTGCTCAGCTGCAGCCCCCGCTGCTCATTCCCTCCCGGGGAGCGTAGTGTAGGTGGAGGGGGGCTGAGTGAATGCTCACCCCATCCCACCTCGTTTCGCATCGGCGATCACACCGCTCCCGGCCGACAGCGCCCTCAGGGGTTGCCCGGCGGAACCCGGGAGGAGGCTGACATGAAGGGACCCCTTTTTTTCTACGTCCCTCGCCTTTTCCCGCCAGTTCGGATGATCGGCGGAAAGGTTATTTTTCACTGACGTGTTTTTCCAGGCAGCCGCAGTTAGCAACAACGTGCGCTGCTAGCATATAGCATGTCCAAGGGACTGAAGGCCGCAGACCTGCCTTGGAGACAAAGAACTCCTTCTGTAAGGCAACTGACGCTATTCCTCGGTTCCCTCCCCTGGAGCCAAGCCTCGTGGAAGCTTCCGGAGCGAAGCTGTCCAGGTCGGAGCAGCGTCCCGTCCCTCCGGAGGAACCAGACGGCGACCAAAGCTCTCCAATCGAGCCCACCGACGTGTTTTCAGGCAACCGCAGTTAGCAACAACATGCGCTGCTAGCATTTAGCATGTCGAAAAGGCTGGAGACCTCACACCTGCCGGAGGAGACAAAGAGCTCCCTGTGTAATCGGCAGACGCCATCCTCAACATGTGCGCCGCTCCCTCGGTTTGCCTGTCGAGGATTGTAGCATGGATGACGGTAATCCAACGTTCCATCTGGCTCCGTCACTCTCCATTGCTGCCGGAAAAGCTGCACAAAGACCGGATGGAGGGCCCCATCTCATCGGACGCGCTGTTCGGAAGCAGCTTGACGTCCATGCTGACGAATTCGAAGCAGTCGGAGGAGACGTCGGAAGCTGTACGCCATCTCATCTAGCCGCGCGGCTCATTCCGTCCTCCAGCCCGCTGGAGAGATCGTCAAAAGCAGAGGCAGAAACATCGACGCTCCACGGCAGCAGCAGCTTCGTCTCGCCCAGCTCCACCACCAGCCCCGCCCGCCAGAGACCACCCCTCCTCAGTCCGGCAGCCTGCACTTCAGCGTTTTCCCCAGAGATCGCCTGCAGACGGCGCTCGGAGCAAACAAACCGCAGAGCTCACGGGGGAGAAGTTTTAAGAAATGACGGTCTGCGGAGGATGTGTGTATAAATGACACAGGAATTGAATAAATGATTTTTCAAAGATCAAAATGCCTGTTTTTAGCCAGTCTGTAAGCTCGGATGAGCTCACAGCCGCTACACACACATCCTCCACTCATAAGAGCCGGTGTCCTTAAATAAAGGTTTTTTAAATCCACCGCCGCTCCTTCACATGCCCAGACGCTCACGTGACACCACGGTAAGCGAAATAACTTGTTGTCAATCAGACCCGCACGATCACCTCCCAACGGTGTTAACGCGCTCCCGAGCGAGACAAGCAGCCTCCATCCAACGGCACTGTGTCGATGATGCACGCACAGCTGCCCGGCGCTCACCGGCCCACATCGGGATAAATGTGGGACCGCAGGCCGGGTCCGGTGGAGGTCCCTGCTCTCAGCGAAAACAACACACGCCTCCCCTGTATGAACGCGAGTGGCCGTCATCCACCGCGTCCCAGCGATCAGCAGCTCACGGCGGCATAAGCGTGAGACAGCTGAATGAATCCAATGACGGGCCCCGCCCTCAGCGAGAGCGGCGCGCGTCCCTCCAGAGGAAACGTGCGCTCCCGCGAGGCTCACAACCTTCACTTCATCAGCTGACACACGCCTCGCCTCAGCACACAGCTACCGCCCCGCCCGGACATGAAGGTTGGTCCGCGATCCAGTCACAGCGCGCGGGCGCGCGCAGAACAGCCCTTTCGAGAAAGCCTCGCCTTGGGTCACGCGGAAAACATTTCCGCGACGCATGACGGCGGTCGAGGCGGAGGTTTGGATGACATCCGTTCAAAACACGGCACATCATTTAAACGCACGTCCACTCCACGAACGTCACGCAGAGTGGTTAAAAACATGCTCACCGGACAGATGGATGGACAGAGTGTTATGCAAGGGTTACACGCTGCAGTTTGCAACCCGACCCCCTCCGTTCGGAGGAGTTATAGAGACGGTCCTGTCATCACCAGACCAAGTCTCAGCCTTAAATGCAGAAGTCCAAGAGCTTCTGATAAAAGGTGTAATCTCAAGAGTTCCCAACGAGGAGGAAAACACAGGGTTTTACTCACGCTACTTCCTGGTCCCCAAAAGGACCGGAGGGATGAGACCGATTCTGGATCTGTCAGCTTTCAACAAAGCGATCATGAACAGATTTTTTCACATGTTGATGAACAGACAGCTGTTGGACAACATCCAGGAAAACGACTGGTTTGTCTCCATCGTTTTAAAAGATGCCTATTTTCACACACCAATCATCCCAAAACACAGAAAATTTCTGCGTTTCGCCTTTCAAGGGATGAAGTACCAGTACAACAGGTTGCCTTTTTGGGGTACTCCCTCGCGCCTCGTACGTTCTCAAAGTGTGTGGAGACAGCCCTGCATCCACTGCACAAGCAGGGATGAGAGTTTTGTTTTACCTGGACGACCTGCTGCCCCTGTCTCACTCCAGACAGGAAGCATTGATACAGGCTCAGGTGTTAGCATCACACCTGCTAAATCTGGGTTTCGCCATAACTGGAAGAAGAGCTCGATTTTCCCGGCCCAGATAATTGTTATCTGGGAGTGGAATTAAACTCAATTACCATGACGGCTCGTTTATCACAAACAAGAATCGACACTCTAAAAACCAATTACGCCACGTAAGACCTGGCAAAGTGGTAACAGCTGTCTCCGTCACGAAGCTGTTGGGAATGACGTCATCAGCTCACACAGTGGTCCCGCTGGGTTTGTTACACATGAGACGCCTCCAGAGGTGGTTTGCGCGTCTGCGTGTGGATCCAGTAAAACAAAAGAGACGGATGATCACTGTCCCTCCCTCCATGGGAGCAGACCTCCGACACTGGGGAAACACCCTGGCTCTGTCAGAGGGAGTCCCCGTCAGCAGACCCACGTCACGTGTCAGTCTTCACGGACGCGTCTCTGTCAGGTTGGGGGGGGGGGACATGCCTATCTCAAGCAGTAGGGGCGCTGTGGCCCCACCGCACATCAGCCCACATCAATGTTTTGGAGTGTCGCACAGTGCTGAATGTGATTCAACATTTTGCTCCCGTGCTACAGAATCTACACGTGTTGATTCACACAGACAACATGGTGACTGCTGCGTACATAAACCGCCAGGGGGGTGTGCGTTCAGCCCAGATGTTACACATTGCGCGGAAGCTACTGAGTTGGGTTCATCAAACCTGCTTTTATTAGAGCAGTTTACATATCCGATGTTCTGAACAGAGGGGCTGATGTGACGTCCAAGGGCGGCCCACGTTATGTGGACCGGATCCTCCATCCGGATCTGATGTTTTTCAGACACAGCAGAAGTTGGCAAAGCAGCTGTGGACCTGTTTGCGACGCGAGAAGAACGCGCAATGTCAACTACGGTTTTTTCCCTGAGCCCGCGAGACGATCCATCGCTGGGGGGGACGCATTTGCTCACAGTCGGTGGCCCAAAACGCTTTTTACGCGTTTCTTTTCCCTCACCTCCTCTGTTTTTTACGGTCCATGAACCGAGTTCAGGAGGAGGGATTGACAGCTCTCCTGGTGGCTCCCGGCGTGTGAACGCACTATGGTTCCCAGGCCTGCAACGTCTGTTGTGGGGTCGCCGTGGAACTGTCGTGGAGGAAGGATGCTCTCCTTCAGGCAGGAGGAGCGACCAAGAGTTACCCAGAAAAAGGTCAACACCGGTGGGTCTGACCGCTGAGCGGTCCCACTTAGAGGATGGGTCTCCCTCAGGAGATAGTGTGCACAATTCAAGATTCACGTGCTGCATCTACCACAGTTCTGTACACATCAAGGGTACGGCTTTTCAGCGCTGGTGTACAGAGAAGGTTTAGAGACCACTTCATGCTTTTTAGGCAGCGTGTTGTTTTTCTACAACACCTGATGGATAGGGAGTTGGTTTTCAGTACGCTTTAACGTACGTTGCAGCCATCTCTTCCTGCCACAAAGGGTTTGGAGACAGAACAGCTTTTAATCACCCGCTGATGAAGCGGTTTCTAAAAGGTGTTCAGAGATGTAGGCCTGTTTCATGCCCACTTGTTCCACAGTGGGATTTAACGCTGGTCCTGCGAGCCCTGATCAAAGCTTCAATTGAGCCTCTGGATCAGTTTTCATTTAAATTCTTGTCTCTTTAAACAGTCCTGCTGCTGGTTTTAACACCCGCTAAGAGGGTAAGTAATTATCTGCCCTCTCTGTTGTTTCGTCATGCCTTAGAATTAGGCTGACGGGCAGCTCAGCTGTTTTAAGACCAACCCAGCTTTTATGCCTAAAACATCACGAGCTCTTTTAAATCAAGAGTGATGTCGTTGGAGGGGTCTTTTCCCCACCACAGATCAGAAGGGGAAGCATCTGTTCATCTTCTCTGCCCGATGCAGGCGTTGACGTGTTACGTAACGCGCACAGCTGCAATGCGTTCAAATTCAACAATTGTTTGTGCATTATAGAGATGCTTCTGCAGGTCGCCGTTATCCATCCAGCGCTTGTCACACTGGCTGTGTGAGGCCTTTTTTCTGAAGCCTACAGAGCATCAGATTTAGGGCCTCCTGTCAACCTCTAAGCACACTCGACCAGGGGTATCGCATCTTCGACTGCTCTGCATAATGGTATGTCAATGCAGGACATTTGCACTGCGGCTGCATGGTCAACACCCTGCTCATTTATTCGCTTTTACCTACGTGATGTAACGGCTCGTTCCATGACACATTCTGTCCTTAGTGCCCTAACAGAATGAATATTGTTGTTCTCAGGGAACTCTGTTTAAACTCACTTCTGTCTGCATGCATTACAGTGTGAGATGTTGTTTTCAGTCACAGTCGTGTCTGTGATTTTGGTTCTATTGTCACTAATCAGTTCATGATTATTGTTAACAATCAGTTCATTTGATTATTGATCAATTCATGGACATTAATCTGTTTATACTGTTCAGCCATGAACCAGTTGGTTCATGCCCCCCCCCCCTCTTTTCAACTTCTTCTTCATGTTGAAAGTTTTTCCGGGGTATTCATGTTTGTCAGAACGCATAGTTACACAACATGCGTCTGTGCATGGCACATAATTACGCGATGCGTAGTTTATGCACACGGGGAGCTGAGTGACAAGACGTTTTTTGGGCAAGCTTCCGCTTCTTACTGTGTTCGAATGGACCCAGTGAGGCGAGGACCACATCCGCTTCGCCCTTAAACCATCAGCGACAGCCTTAAAGGGCGAAGCCTATATGAAATAGAACGTTGGTTACGTACTGTAACCCCAGATTCTATGAATATAGGCGTAGCCCTTTAAGCGTCGGGCCTCACTGGCTCCTAAATGGCTGAAGAAAAAAGCTATTTTGGGAGCCGATTTCCCGCTCTTAACGTAATTTATACGGACCGGGTGGGGCCCACACAGCAGGTGGGCGTGGACTAATTTTTTTCAGTGCTTATGCTGCGCATAACGGGATAAACCATCAGCGACAGCCTTAAAGGGCTACGCCTATATTCATAGAATCTGGGGTTACAGTACGTAACCAACGATCTTCACCTTTGTTTCTGTAAAGTGCCCTGAGACAACTTTGTTGTGATTTGGCGCTATATAAATAAACTGAATTGAATTGAAACCTTCTGTTAGTGTCTGCAGCTTTAAGTGATCACATATAAAATTGGACCTACATTGTTTTAACCCTCCTGCTGCCTTTGAGTCAAAATGACCCACAAAGCTAAGACTGAGGCCTTATGTGTCATTTTGACCCAAAGGCAGCAGGAGGGTAGTTTTCTCATATCACTGCCGTTTGTCTCCTGCAGGTATGTGACGGCCTCTGTGGTTTACCCACTCTTCTTTGTCCGGTCCGAGTGTCCATACGCTGGCTGCCATGTCCGAGATTTCCGCATCGCCGTCACCGTCTGCTCCATCCTGGGAACCCTGGCCTACGGGGCTGAGGTGGCTCTGTGTCGGGCCAGACCGGGACAGATAGTGGTGGGCTACATGGCCACCGTCCCCGGCCTCCTCAAAGTCGTCCAGGCCTTCGTGGCCTGCATCATCTTTGGCGCTCTAGCCAATGGGAGTCAGTATTCCCAGTATGCTGCCACCATCTACTGCGTTGTTGTTTATTCTTTCTGCTTCGCCCTGACGGTCCTGCTGGTTGGAATGATGGTGTGTAAACGCACCAAGACTGTGAGCTGCATGCCCTTTGACCGCGTCGTGGTGGTGTGCACGCTTCTGGAGGTTCTGCTCTACCTGAGCGCTTCGGTGGTGTGGCCGGTTTTCTGTTTCGACACCAAATATGGCACCCCATGGAGACCGTCCTCGTGTCCCCGTGGGAGGTGTCCATGGGACAGCAAAGTGGTGGTGGCGGCATTCTCCTGCATGAACTTTGGACTTTATCTGGCAGACCTGATTTACTCTCAGAGAATAAAATTTATCTCCTCACACCTGCCCACCAACTCCTGAGTGTAGAACCGAGGTCTGACTGACCATCACTTGTGTTTAAATTATTATTTTTTTCACTGTCAAGTTTTTGTTTGTGAATTTATTTGATATTTAAAGACACTGACGTGACTACAGGATTTGCTCTTTGTTCGATCTAAGGGATAATGTACCATCGTTTATCAATGCAAGACATCATAAAGCTGCTGTGATCATGAGTTTACAGTAAACACTTCTTTATCCGTCAAATATTTGTTTTACTCTGTATTTTTCTTGTACCATGTCACCTGAACATTTGATCACTTGGTACAACCTTATAACCCATATTCAAGAAAATAAATAAATCTATATTTATTTTATTAATCTCTTGAAACAAAAATCAGCCGCCGCTTTCATGCTGAAGTATTAAACAGATGTCTTGTGTGATTTGTTCGTACAAAGTGTATATGTTCTGGAATACCCTCAGCTATTACCACATCAAAGCTCAATATCTTTAAAACTAATGGATTTACTGTATAGTCTTTTTTGTATTTGTTAAAGCTGATAACCTGTGGCAGCCATCTTGAATCAGGTTGGCTCCAAAAGTTAAGTTGTTGTAAATGTGCATCCAATCATTCCTTTCTGAGAATTTCAATAAAGTCTGTTCACTTGTTCGTGAGATATTTTGCTAACAGACTCACAAAGGAACAAGCAATTACACGGTCACCCACCTTTCATGGGATCAGGTAATAAATATTGCAACTATGATGTTTACAAGAATAAACAAATAACTATGTCAGTCAACCTGAAGAAACTGTTACAAAACAGTGAAATATGATATTTTTCTCATTATAATGAATATAAAAATAAATGACATTACACAATTAACTCTTTAGTTCTCACTGCTGCTGCGTGTGGAAGCGATTATGTCTCATATATCAAATTAAAATGGATTCATAGAAATGCTTTAGCGGAGATGCCGCAAAGGTTCAAACCCAAAGAACTGCAGAAGAAATTCAGCCCCCATGTTCCCTCAGACACACCCGGCTGAAGTGACACCCCATCGCTTTAAACAACCCCCTCCTTCCTGACATCCAGTCTGGTCTAAGCTGCCTCCTTCCACAGGAATATCTCACCCAGTAAAACACACTCCCTCGTCTTAACCTGCGGAGTAACTCATACTCATAGATTGGGTTTGTATGAAGTTATTTCATAAAGTCTGGATCACGGTGGTAAATCTGTCATGGCATCTGTGGTATTTCTGCCATCTGCAAACCCCACAGCCTCACGAGCTTCACCAGGCAGCCAAAAATAAACACGAGCCGTCCGCACTCATGCAGAAGTTGTGACACAGCGTTTATAAGAGGCCGGAGCCGCTCAAACGTCTCAGTGAAAGGCTTCTTAGCACTCCTTGAAGGAATGCATATCGCCCGCTGCCTTTCGTGCTAGAGCTTCAGACCAGCTTACTTTGAGAGCCGACAGTTGTTCTGGTTACACCTTGAAAATAACGTTATGCATGATCTCGTGATATTGCTAGATGCCGTTTGCAGAGTTGTGAATGACCCTCGGCTACTACCTCGTCAAATCTCAGCTCGATATCTGTAAAAATGGCTGACTTACAGCTAACAGAACTAACGGGTCAAACCAGCTACAGATCCTCTGACAGGTAAATAACACAGTTTAGAACAAGCTGTTCTCCTCCTCTTTTCTGTCCTTGGATTTTTGTCTCCTCAGATCATCTCTATTCTCCTTTTTGTCACCTGCTGTTGAAAGGGTGATCATATTTTTGCTCGTGCATGTGTGCGTTCCTTTGTCTGCCTAATATACAGTATGCCTTTTAATAGGCATAAAATATCTCATGAAACACTGGACAGGTTTGAACTAAACTAATCACTGGATGGACACACAGCTGATTAATTTTTGGACTTCGGCTCATTCAAGGTTTAAGCTTCAAGGTGACTTTATTGTCATTCGTATCACATGTGGTACATGAGGTGGAATGAAATTGTACTCAAGGTTCCAATTACATCTAAAAATAGTCATAATATATATATATAATTTTATTTTTTCCGTCTGCTCTCTTCTTCAGGGGTCACCACAGCGAACTAAGTCGCACGAAGACTTGGCAATAGTTTTTACGCCAGATGTCCTTCCTGATGCAAACACAGACTACCGAGCTACCACAGCCCTCTGTGTGGAGCAGAGAGCTGCCATCATAGGTGCCCAGGGGAGCAGATGGTGGGGGTTAAGTGCCTTGCTCAAGGGCCCAGAATGGGGCAAATGAAGGTGGAGGCAGGTGTGGGTGTTTCCTCTATTCCACCCACATTTTGATGTTGTCAGTACAGGCAGTTGAACCGGTGATCTTTCGATCACAGGCCCACCTTCTCTAACCTCTGCGCCACCACTCCCCTAATATAGCAATAATATAAACTATAAAAAAGAAACAGTATACAAGTATCTAAGATACACACTAAATAATAATAATTAATAAAACAGCAGCTTGAACATGAGTCTGTTGTGAGCAGATGAGTATGAATATATCAGCTTAAGGACAAAAAAGGACAAATAATGAGCTAAAATTTAGTTTGGCAGCAGCTGAGGCCGTCCCAACACATGCACAGAGTGCTAACACATTCTGCAGTATTGTTTTCATTTGTTAATAGTTTGCTGATGTGGCGTTGATGTAGGATCTGTGTGTAGCTCCTGAACGATGGGAATATGTCAAATAGTAACTGTGACACAAGGTGCATGCTGGGACAAAAAAACCTCCTGGTGCTCAGCAGTAAATCCAACACCAGCTGGCTGCTCTGGAGCAAATGTGACTCATCTCGTGGAGGACGTCATCGTGTGATTCAAAGATTTGAAACTTTACACATTCTGCTAGTTTTTATTTGTGATATACTGAATGACAAGTGACTACTGCGTGCACACGAGGAAAGCTAAAGGACATGGATGTGAAGAGGTCAAACTGTTATTATTAAGTCAAAGGTTGAGCCATGATGCTTCTGTCTGTGTGTTCTTAGTACTATTTAACAGATTAACTTCTGATTTAAGATGCTCGTCAACATCAGCAAGCCCAAAAACTGCTTTAACTCCGTCCGTTTGACACATATTGAGCTAATATTTGTGTGGTAGTAGCTGAGACTGATCCCCAGCTTCTTCTCTGAGCTTTAAATGATTGCACAAAATTTGTTTAAAAAGCTATTGGAGTCAATTCTTTTTGCCTCTTAGCTAAATATCTCTTGAGCCACATGATGGATTTTAATGAAACTTGTAAAAAAATAGTTATTGGATATACATCTACAGCTCAATAAACTTTGGAGCCAATCCAATTTAAGATGGCCGCCACAGCCAACTGATCTCAGCAAACACAAATATCTATATAATTCAGTCAATTGTGCAGTTATTGAACTAAAACTTGATATGGACGTAGCTGAGCATCACCCCCAACACATACTTGGAGCACTACACACTGCTCAAGATCTTGGCTAAAAACTCGTGTTTTAACTCTTGGTAATAATCCTATTTGTCTGTTAGCAAAATATGTCCTGAACCGCTGGACTCATTTTAACAAAATCCTAATAATAAGAAGAATTTCATGTACATCTACTACTGATTATATTTTGAAGTCACCCTAATCTAAGATGACTGCCACACCTTATAAACTTTAGCCAAGACAAAAGTGGCTGGGTCTCTGTCAGCTTTGCAGATAATGTATTTTAAACTCAGTGTTGAGCAGGCGGGTGATATGCATTCCTTCAAGTAATAGACGTTTCATTAAAGTTGCATTTACTTTAGTTGACAAGTTCTTTAGGGGGAGCTCTTCCCCCCAACACTGAGTCTGCAGCTGCACCGAGGCCTCTGCATTCAGCAGCTGTTTCAGTTTGAACTCTGTTTCCTGATGCGTCCAGACCTACAGCCACGTTTGACAGAAATGAGCTGTGACAGATGTCTGTCAAAACTGTCCCCTCTTCATTTTTAACATTTTTAGGGTGGGGGGGACTCAGGGCGACAGGGGACGGCTGGTTCTAGACTAATCTCTGCTGCAGCTTCCAGCCCCCTGAAGCTCCCGTTCAGAGAAACATGAGGAATTTTGTTGCCATCTGAATCTTTGGATGTTAGCTCACATCCTGAAACTGTCAACCCTTAAAGAACGTGTTTGATTACAGCCTGAGGTTAAAAGGTGGACAACGTTTTGCCTGTGTCTGTTTTTGTCTGTTAGCAAAACATCTCATGAACCACAAGATACATTTTAATGAAACTCTCAGAAACTAATCACTGGGTGTACATCTACAACTGATTAGCTTTTAGAGGCAACCTAATTCAAGATGGCCGCCTAAGCCAACTAACTTTATAAAGCACAAAATGGCTACAACTGAGTCAGATTTATAGATATTGAGATCAAATTTGATGTGGAGGTAGCTGAGAGTCATTCTTGCCACAATCTCTGAGCATGAACTTTTTCATTTTGTTATCGTCGCGATTTCTCATTTAAAACTTTAACAAAAAGCTGAAAGAAATGTGGAAAAGGGTCACATTTGAGGCAGATTATTTTTAAACTATAGTTTATTTGAGAATTAAACAATTTAAACCAGATTTGTACCTTTCATGTAATCTTTTGGGGGGTCTTTTTATAATTTTGAATTAAATTTTTGACCAATGAGAGACTGTGACAAAGTGACGATTCAGCACAGTCTGATGGCTTCCTTAGATACATAACTTTTGGCTTTTTTATATATGTAAATGTTTTTGTACAGTTCCCTGAGACGACTTCTGTTGTGACTTGGAGTTATATAAATTAATTTAATTGAAAAATCCAACATTTTTCAGTCAGGTCATCTGGACAGTTTATTTATTTTTTTTGTGCTGAAACGTTTCGGTTTCGATCCGGAAGGCTTCATCAGTCAAGGAAACACACAACAAAACTGATTCTTTCCCCAACAGCTTCCTCCAAAGTGGAACAAACCAGTTCTGCTTGTGATAAGATGGTCTCTTTGGTACGGTCTCAATGGAGGAGGGGGTGTACCAAAGAGACCATCTTAGCACAAGCAGAACTGGTTTGTTTCACTTTGGAGTAAGCTGTTGGGGGAAGAGTCAGTTTTGTTGTGTGTTTCCTTGACTGATGAAGCCTTCTGGATTGAAGGCGAAAAGTTTCAGCACAAAAAAAAAAAAGAAACTGTCCAGATGACCTGACTGAAAAATGTTGGATTTTATACCTGGATTATTGACCATGGACTTTGCTGTTAATTGAAAAATTTTTATTTTTATTTCCTGATGCATGCTCAATAATCCAAATCTAAAAAAGTTAAGTCTGGTCCTCTGGACAGGTTAAAAAAAAATTAAAAATTTGTAGAAATGTTTCGTCTTTCATCCGAAAGACTTCTTCAGTCTGGACGAAACGTTTCTACATATTTTTTGTTTTTTGAACCTGTCCAGAGGGACAGACTTAACTTTTTTAGAGGTTTCTTTTTATTGTTTTCCTGACCAATGAAATTTTTATCTTTATCAGCCATTTGAATTTTATTCACAAATTATGTGAAATGTATCCTTTATGAATAGATTTTTTAATTATTATGAGTATTATTGTTCTTCTTTCGGCTTTTCCCTCTTCAGGGGTCGCCACAGCGAGTCATCCTCCTCCATCACACTCACTCATCCTCACTCCAACTCCATGTCCTCTCTAACTGCATCCACGTATCTCCTCTTTGTCTTTTTCCAGGCAGCTGCATTTCTATTATCCTTCTACCAGTATACCCACTGTCCCTCCTCTGGACATGTCCAAACCATCTCAGTCTGGCCTCCCTAACTTTAACTCCCAGTTCAACCTGTGCTGTCCCTCTGATGGTCTAATTACTGTTAATGTGGACAAATACAAAGTAAAACTTTCATTAAAACACACAACACAGGATTAAAAACTATAATAAATGCAGACTTTTCTATTTGTTTTATTTGTTTGTTGTCTTGGTGACTGTGTTGTGTGTCATGGGAAATTCTTTATTAGTTTTGTACCTGACGTTAAAATAAGAGCTGACATTTACAACCAATGTTTTTACTTCTCTGCTGCTCTTTCTTTATAACCAGTCTTTGGCACTCATTCTGCAAAAAGAAGATGTAAAAACCTGAGGGAAAGATTTGATGTCTGTGCGTGATATTGAATCACACACAGGATTTTACTTTTGGATTTGCTTCAGGGTGGAAGTAACACTTCTGCTGTGACGTTTTCTGCTGGATGACAAACATTTGCTCTTTTGGGGCATTTGTATGGACCTCTCAGGGTTTCATCAAGAAACAAAGATATAACACACACGTACACACAGCCTGAGTCATGGATGGAGCAGACGCAGACGGTGGTGAGTTCTGCTCGTCAGTCGGACTGAGAAGAAGACTTTCAGGAGCGTTTCACAGAAATGTTCGGCGTGTTGAGGTGAAGTTTTGTCGGTGACTAATCCACAAGCGAAAGAAGAAACACTAAATGCCTCCGAATCTATCCAGAAACTGAAGCTAAAAAGAAGCTTTTGTGGATTATTTCTTGTTTTTTTTTTTGTGGACAAATGTTATAAATTCTGTTAATTTAATTTGCAAGTCATTTGAGTAAAAACATTTTTCAAGCTGGTCACATCTGAGAGACAGTCAGAAGCTTTTAAAATTAATCAGAAGACATATTTCTCCTCAGAACGTTCCAGTTTTATAAGCTTCACCATGATCCTCCTCCTTGGATGTCCATTTTCATTTTTTTTTTTTTTTTTTTGCTGATTCAGCTCAACTTCTGCAGTGACTGACTGACTGCTGCAGCTTTTTTAAACCAATGCAACCTTTAGTTTTTATTATTAGTCCAAGTTGGTTCCCGTAACTGAGGAACCTGATGACCTCCACTGTGGAGGTGACACTTCCCTCATGAGTGAAATTAAAACCTGTGTTTAAAAATCTGTAAAATGTAGCTTCAGATTAAAACTGAATCAAATGAGTTGATTTGAGGAGAACCAAACAGTTTCCTGATTTGTATATATGTCCATCTGACTGAGCTCGTCTCCAAACAGCTGGTGCTCTCAGAGGTCGGCCTCGGACTTCTGCTTCATATATAGACACAGGCGCTCACTCAGTCTGCATTCCTGTGAGGGAATAAACGTGGTCCCTCAAAGGGGAAATACCACTTCCTCCCGTGGAGCGTAACTTTAGCCCGGAGTGGCACGGTACGGCATGATCAGTATCCAAGAAGGAGGCAGGCAGTTTAATGAGAAGAGCAGACCCAACAATATGCCCAGTAAAGATGATAGCCTCAAACTGGCAGCTAGAGGCCAAGTCCAAGATGTCTGAAGACACAGATGAGTGGATTATCATCTGAGTGAGGGATTGTGGTAGCTCAGTGGTCAGTGTCATGGTCTAATTATCCTGAGGTTGCAGGTTCAAGTCCAGGTTGTGTCTAAATTGAGCATGCACTTATCTTATTTCAAGATCTGGAAATAACCAGTTGTTTTTTTTTTTTGTTTAAACTTTTTGTGTAAAACTTCATATTTACTGTTTGACATGCCTGTATGTTTATAAAGGGGAAAAAAGTGAAAATTTACCTGAATGATCATGTTTTTTTTTATTCAAACCTGCCAACAACAAAACAAAAGTTGCATATACGCCTGCGGTTCCCAAGGCTGGAACCGAGAGCACACTTTGGTCTCAAAACATCCAGTTTGGGGTCTTGAGGTGATTTTCAGAAACAAATAAAATGACTGCTAGAGCACCTCTGATTTAACTTTACTGATATCAGAGATAAAACATGCATAAGTAAATAAAAATAGTCTAATGGTGGTTGTGGACGGCAGCAAGGTGGCGCAACTGGTAGAGCTGCTGCCTCTCAGCGAGCAGGTCCTTGGTTCAAACCCCGGTCCAGGGGCCTGGAGTTTGCATGTTCTCTCTGTGCATGTGTGGGTTTTCTCCGGGTGATCCGGTTTCCTCCCACAGACCAAAAACATGCATGTTAGGCTGATTGGTAACTCTAAATTGTCCCTAGGTGTGAGTGAGAGAGTGAATGGTTGTTTGTCTCGTTTGTCTCTATGTGTCCCTGTGATGGACTTGAGACCCATCCAGGGTGTACCCCGCCCCTCGCACAGTGATTGCTGGACATGGGCACCGGTGACCCCTGTGACCCAAAATGGAATAAACGGGTAAAGAAAATGGATGGATGGATGGATGGATGGTTGTGGTCATTATGCCCTTATTTAATAAGCCCAGTTACAATGTTTGCCCACCTTAACCAAATAAAGTAAGGCTCACAAACATTGGAGAAAAATATTCTCATTTTATCTTACTTACTCAAAAAGAACCACACTTGACAGCAGGAGAAATTTTTTTAACCTGTATGTACTTACAAGGTCAGATTTTCAGGCCAGGTTACATAAATATATAGAAAGTGCACACATGAAGACCAATCACGAAAATCTGCCGTACGTGAGCTGTCTCCCCAGCTTGTTTTTATACTCTTATCATTTCAGCGAAGTTCACAGAGTGCAGGAGGTGTCCTTGGAGCCAGCTGCATGCTGTAGCCTCACCCAGCTCCTCATCCAGCTTTCTACCAACCCAAACATATGGTTCATGGGCAGAGTTAACATCCTCAGCCATAGTAGTTAAAAACATCCATAACCTTTGACTAAAAATTCCCTAACAAGTTTTCGCTGCTGTTTTTTCATTAATCATAAACTGAAAAGTTTGGAAACCATTGACCCATAAGCTGTCATTAAAAAAAGTGTGACAATTATAAAACACATCTGAAACAGAAAAATTGTGACGCCAAATGAGACCTGTGTCCACACAGTAAAACTTGTGAATAAGTTAAACTGTTCAAACCTGAGTTTGGTTCGGCTCAGTAGAAACAGTACAGTTTATGATAAATATGACCCACTTTCCATCTATGTTCTTTTACTTGACCCCCATCCTCTTTGGATTATGTCTGTGAGAAGAATGATGCAACTGGGCGTGTCGGACAGTAAGCCCCGCCTTTAGTTTATCATCTAGTTTTTTTATTGGTCAGCGTCTCAGTTAGTCTCTTCGTGATTGGTCAGGATCTCTGTCATCAACCGCATGTGGGTTGAGTCAAAAGAAAAGCCACGTTGAAGCAACGCAAGAAGATTTATGGGGTACTTTTGGATCTCAGAAGATAACGGTTTCGCCGACAACTTTCTACCAACGCAGAAACTTCCACTAAATTATTAAAGGTAAGGTATATTTGGTTGTTCATATTTATTTACCTAATGCTTCAATCATTTTTGAAAACCGAACTAGCAAAGCAGCAGCCGGTTTACGCAGCTAGCAAGGAGCTAGTATCATCTTAAATTAGCAGCTTCCCTGGAGGGGATTATTCTGTGGCTCAAACATTTAAACAGTTAAATTTGAATTGTCTTGCAAGGTTGTAAAGTTAAAGACTTTAATAATAAAGTAGAGTTCAACGTGTTCAGCTGGGCTCATAATCAGATTGTTAATACTAGAAATATTAATTGAATAAGTCATGTTTATCAGTAAATATTTCTATACCAGCTCCAGGATTTTCCCACATCTTATAGCGACTCCATCTTAATTTTACTGTAACATTGTTGTATTATAAATGTTAATTATATAGTAATAATTTGTGTTAACTGACAGGAGTAACGGTCTGCAGCAGCTTTCTGTTTGTTTGTTTGTTTGTTTGTTTGTTTGTTTGTTCTTTTGTTTGTTTGTTTTGCCAGGTCTGAAGTGCCACATCATCTGTCAGGATGAGTGTTGGGTTTATTGGAGCAGGCCAGCTGGCTCATGCCCTGGTAAAAGGTTTCACTGCTGCAGGTGAGATTTGCTGAACTTCAGTAAAGACACATTATGTCCTCGTTAAGTTATTTTTATTCTCTTTGGTCATTTCACGTCTCTGTCAACTGCTTCATCAGAACCTTTTAGGACCAATCCAAGATCCTTACGAGCAGTCTGCTGCTGAATACTTTACAAAATGTACATCGCTGCTAAAATCTATTTACCAGTATAGATTTTGTTTTATTAATGCATGTAAATTAAGTTGTAAAATTTAGTTGTAATAGCTTTTTTTTGCATTCACGTTCTTTTAGATCAGTCAAACTTTATTTATTAAGCTCCTTTCATACAATGGCGTGTAGCACAAAGTGGTTTACAACAGAAAAATCTAAACATTTAAAGCAAACAAATCACTCATGGAAATTAACTTAAACTGCAATATAAGCTGTAAACGGATCAAATCCACACTCACTGATCCTCTTCAGTCATTCATGCTTTAACGAATGGAAAAATAGAACAAAAACTACTATTGTTTCCCTAAAAATTAATCCGTAATGTATGCTGAGTAACAATAAGTAATTATGATTATTTAACTTTCTTATAATTTCATTTAAAGACAAGCTATAAATATGACAGAACTACCAGTTTGCAAAGAATATAAGACTTGCGGACATTTGAAAATGAATAAATAAAAATGAATCTAAAAGCCAGACTGAATAAACAAGTCTGGAGTTTGTTTTTTAAAACATGAATACTAAAGAACTTGAAGCACATGCCAACACGTTTGATAAACAATTCATAAAGAAAGGTTTTATTTTGGGCAACATTTTATAAAATAAGCTAATTCTCAGCTACACAGGTTGGAATAATCTAAACTGAAGGCATCTACAACTAATCAGTTTTTGGTTTATTTTTTTTAAACCTTCAACTTGATTTGTTAAAATAGTCATTGTCTTTCTGTCTCATGTTTGAAATTAAGGTTTTCAGTGTTAATTTACCTGCCATCAGGTGTGTCTTCAATCAGTGTCTTCAAACTTAACGGTATTTTTTTTATCTTATTTTTTGTTAAGAAGTGCTTTATTTATTTTATTTTTAGGGCTTAAGGGTTTAATGTTAAACAAATTCAGAGAATCATTATCTCAGATTAGGTAGCATTAAGAGGACTACGTACATTTAAAAATGACTAGTTTATTGTTCACAGTTGTGTAATTTGGCCAATGTCTTTGGAGGGTGTGTTGGAGCATTCTTTGCTTCTTCTTCAGCTGCTGTAATGTGAATTTCCTCTTCCTGCTTCCTTTCTGTCTTGTTGTTTAAAATCCATTTCGCTCACTTAGATGTCACTTCTTCTTGTCTTTGTCTGCAGGTGTTATTGCAGCACACGGGATTACAGCCAGCTCTCCAGACGCAGACCTGCCCACAGTGACGGGGCTGAGGGTGAGCACCGTAGTTTTTAATGTTTTCTGGACATGGTAACGATGAGAGCTTTTAGGAAAGGAATGAGCCTGTTCAGTAGTTGAGAATGACTGATTGCTGCTGTAAAAAAAAAAAAACTTTCTAAACTACTAACTAGCCCTGATTTTTTTCTTTTCTTGTAGAAAATGGGGGTGAACTTGACAAGCAGCAACAAAGAGACTGTCAACAAGAGTGATGTGCTCTTTCTGGCTGTGAAGCCCCACATTATCCCCTTCGTTCTGGATGAGATCGGCCCAGACATTGAAGACCGTCATCTTATAGTCTCTTGTGCTGCAGGTGTTACCATCAGCTCTATAGAGAAGGTAAAAATCGCTCACTGTCACTCTGAAATACTGGCACTCTATACTTTACAGACGTTTGATGACCGTAGTGTTCAAGCCTTTGTTGTGTTTTTTTTAACATGTAAAATAAAACTGTTGCTTCTTATCTCTTGCATACTTTTCTCACATTTTCTTTGTAACTGAGCAGAAGCTGCTTCAGCACCGTTCCGCTCCTAGAGTCATGAGGTGTATGACAAATACTCCGGTGGTGGTGCGAGAAGGCGCTACTGTGTATGCAACAGGGACACATGCAGAGGTAAAGAGTCTTCTGTTTAAATAGAAGGAAGCATTAAAATAATGTTAAGACAAGTTGAGCAGGAAAGTTCTGCTTTATAAATAATTATAAATCCGATTTTTGTGCTTATTTTAGGTGGAAGATGGTAAGTTGCTTGAGCAGCTGATGGCCAGTGTTGGTTTCTGCACGGAGGTGGAGGAGGACCTAATTGATGCTGTCACCGGACTGAGTGGCAGCGGACCCGCCTATGTGAGTTACAGCTTTTGTTTTCTTCTGTAATGCTGTCTGTGTGTGTAAGACGTGGGGGATCCAGGCTTTTATCCTCACATCAAGGCCTGGAATGAGCAAAATATTCTGTAGACTGACTGGAGTTTGTCGCAGAGCTGATGAATGCAACATTGCTGTTAAAATCTGGCAAGTCTTGTAGCATAAACCTATCACAGAACCTGTAAATAATTTATTATTTTAAACTGCACACTGTAAGTGGCTGAGACTTTTAATTATTTCAAAAGGGGTCTGATATGGTAGAGAGAAGGCTACATTTATGTATTTGTGGAGTGATGGGGATGAAGAACCAGTCTTGAGGTGCTTTTCCACCTTGTTTTTCTTAATGTGAGCTCTAACCAGATGCTTGCTGCAGCCTCTCCTTTATAATTCATGCTGCAAGAACACGTTATGTCAGTTTCCTGCTTTGAATTTCTGAACTGTGGAAAAAAGTCTTGACCAAACTGCTTGAACAATCTTTGGAATATCTCAAGCACGTACTGATGAATGAAAACGGTTGTAAGCTTTGCTTACAAAACCAGGACTGTTGCTTTCAACCATAATGAAGAACTTTAAAGGACGGCAGATTCCAAAAATATTAATTTCAGCGTTCATTGCACGAGTGCAAGTTGTTGTTTTTCAGTCTTTGTTGCTAAAATGGTAAGAACGCAAACCCTTAGTTTGCTCTGTTGGTCAAGAATGACCAAAAAACTGACCAAAGTGTTGCACATCATGATTTTAGCTTGAAGATAGTTAATAGGAAAGGAGATAAGATAATTATAATTTTTTCCAATTAAAAGTTCCTGTTAAAAAACACGAGAGAGCCTAGCTGTAAGAACTTGTATTCCCATGTCTATATTTCCAAACCTCAGTCCGTCCTGCTTTAAGCTGATGGGGGCGTGTCTGTATGTTCTGAACAGGCGTTCACAGCCCTGGATGCTCTTGCAGATGGAGGCGTGAAAATGGGTCTGCCCAGGAGACTCGCTGTCAGGCTAGGAGCCCAGGCCATGTTGGTGAGTAGCTGGTATATTTTTAGTTTATCTGATGTCCGTGGGTCTTGTGTTGTATTCGTTCTCATTAATCTGCTGCTTTATGCATGAGACAACAACAAAAATCATCAGAAATCAGCTGCTGGTAACTTTAAAGAACAGTAATTATTAAGTTTAATAATGGGCGACTTGTGTTGAGTGATTTACTAAAATGGAAGCGCAGGGGAATAAGTGGTTCTGCATCAACAGATTTTTAATTTAGTTCTGTCACATCCTGATGCATGCTCAATAATCCAGGTTAAAAAATCAAAAAAGTTAAATCTGGTCCTCTGGACATTCAAAATACAAAACAACAACAGTAGAAATGTTTCGTCTTTCATCCGAAAGACTTCCTCAGTCTGAGGTGCTGTATTCAGCTCAGTCTTATAAATAGTTCTATCACACTATTAAACTTTTAAACAACTGTCAGTAAAAATAGTATTGGTTCTAATTTCTTTCTGCAAAAGTCTGTTCAGATAGTCCTGTGTTAAATGAAGTAAAGAATTGTCTTTTGTTTACCCTCGTCTGTGGTGAAGCACGCCAATGATGTTCTTATTTATTTCAATCACATTGCAGCTTCAGGACAAACAAAATAAAAAAATTAAAAATTAAATCGACCTCAATTTTTTAAATTTTTTATTTGCAGAGAATCTAACAAGTGGAAACAAACGACTCTTGCGTCTAAGTTCAGCATTCAATACATTTTCTTTCTGGCTTGTCCCCCCCAGGGAGCAGCTAAGATGCTGCTGGACTCGGAGCAGCATCCGGGACAGCTGAAGGATAACGTGTGCTCACCAGGGGGCGCCACCATCCACGCCCTACACTTCCTGGAGAGCGGCGGCTTCCGGAGCCTCCTGATCAACGCAGTTGAGGCTTCATGCATCAGGACGAGGTAAGAAACACACTATTACAGTATTACAAAAATGTAGACTACACCACTGGGTAAGACTGTTTAAAAATGTCAAACTACACGTCTAAATTTAAATTTGTCTGCCCCAATGTTCGTTGAGACATTGTGAGTCTGAGCTCATGACATTCAAGTCTTTACTTTATTAATGTTCTTTTTATTTCAGACAAATTTAACAAACCTACAGTTGATCAAAAGTTGAAGTCAGGTTACCAGAGTTTATGTCTTTTTTTACAGATTGTTAAAGGATAATAAACTGTAAAGACGTTAAACGTAAGAAATGTTAAAAAAATACCGTACTCAAATCTTAGCTGTCCCAGTAAGTATTTGGTGTTTCCATCACACAACAATTATGAAGCTGTTCTTATGCTCTTGTTTTATTTTTTACAAACGTAACAGAGAATGCTGAGTCAGCATTCAGACTTACTTCCTGTTTATAGTTTCTTCCACATTATTTGTAATTAAACTGCTTTTGCATACTTTGTGCTATTTTAGCTATTCAAGTACCAAAATGATACCAAATGGTCATTTGTGCTTTGACTTAATATTTGCAACGTCTTATACTTTTTGACTTATTTAACTTTATTTACTAAAGTTAGAGAGGCCAGACTGAGATGGTGTGGACATGTCCAGAGGAGGGACAGTAAGTTTATTGGCAGAAGGATGTTAGAAATGCAGATGCCAGGAGAAAGACAGAGGAGATACATGGATGCAGTTAGAGAGGACATGGAGGTAGTTGGAGTGAGGACAGAGGATGCAGAGGACAGAGTGACATCCCATCCAACTTTATTTATAAAGCTCTTAAACAAACAGAGAGGACCAAAGTGCTGTACAGACAAGTAAAAGAAAAACACACACAAAAGGAATAAAATACAAAAATCAGATTAAAAGACATAAACAGCTATGCATTTACAAGAATTAAGAACAATTAAAGGATAATCAAATAAATAAGTAACAATAATGAATTCACCATCTCACATGGAGGAGGATGAATTGATGTGGCGACCTCTGAAGAGGGAACAGCTGAAAGAAGATTAACAAATTTTCCCTCAGAGAAACAGCGATTTTGTTAGTTATTGACGTAGTTCTCTGAAAATTACATCAGCCCATTTCATCACATATTTGTAGCCGCACAGCGGTGCGGTTATCAGAGCTGTCACCTCTCAGCTTAAACGTTGCAGAATTGTCTCCCGGCCTGGGACCGTTCTGTGTGGAGTTTACATGTTCTCCCTCTGCACACTTGGGTTTTCTCCGGGTACTCCAGTTTCCTCCCACAGACACAAAATGAGTACGTTAGGTTAACTGAATAACTGTCACTAGGTGAAAGTGAGTGACTGTTAGTCTCTTTGTCCCTGTTATGGACTGGGAGTCCCCTGCAAATAAAGAAAATGGATAGAGTGTGTGTGTGTGTGTGTATACGTTTCCCCTTTTTTTTCTCATATTGTGCTTTATTTATTTATTTTGACATGATTTTGTTAATTTTAGCTTTTGAATACCTTTAGCTTCTAGTTATGGTTTTGCAACAATTTTGCCAAGTTGAGGATTTAATAGCAGTTTTGTTACCGATAATTTTAGCGTTTTGGTACCATTTAGCTACAGTTAAGGTTTTAACAATGGTTTTGTTGATTTTTAGCTAATGTTCTGATTGTTTTACCTAACAGTTCATCCATCCATTAATTAGCCTTACCTGCTTCTTCTTTTCTGGGTCGTGGGGTCACTGCTGCCCATATTACTGTGTGAGAGGCGGGGACACCTTGGACAGGTCACAAGTCCATCACAGGGACACATATAGAGACCAATGAGACAAACAACTCATCTCACTCACATGTAGTTACCAATAAGCCTAACATCATGTTTTTGGTCTGTGGGAGGAAACTGAATTACCTGGAGAAAACCCACACAGCACGGAGAGAAGTTGCAAACTCAACCCAGAAAGGTCTCTGGCCAGGATTTGGTCTAGCAACCTTCTCTAAGAGGCGACAACTCTACCATCTGTGCCACCGTACCGCTACTTAACAATTAAGTTACCAATAATTCAAACTGCATTTTTGCATAAGATGCTGTTTCTCTAGTTTTATCGTGCACCTAATGGTTTTGTGTCCCCTCGCTTCAGAGAGCTGCAGTTTCTCGCAGACCAGGAGCGCATCTCCCCTGCAGCCATTAAGAAAACCACGCTGGACAAAGTGCTGCAGCAGCCCGGAGTCTCAGTCAGCGGCGTCGGGAATGGGAACGGCAGATCAGGACTCAACCTGTTCAACAATCGCAGCTCTGGCCTCAAAAAGAAGAACTGAGAACAAAAAAACCAGCCACGCAGACAAACAGGTCACAGGTTTAGGTGTGCCAATGTGCACACGTCTCCAAACAGCCGATCGACTCTAAAATTAAATCAGACTCTGGACCGTGTTGAAGTTGCATCTAAATTAATCTATTCAGTTTACTTGAAAAACAAATGACATGTTACACACAGACTGTGCACGGCTACAGGGTTGCCGTCTACATGGAACACAAATCCAGAAGCATTGGGGCTGTTAAACGGTAACGACCCAGTGGGCCATCATGGGGTTCTGGTATACACCAGCCAACAGATGGCTGATGGGATATAAAGCTGTAATGTTTGTTTCTTCGAATGTTTGTCTTTAAAGGGCAGACGCCCCGTGAATCAGTATGTACTTCGCCTTTTTTTAAAGTATCATTTTTATTTGTTATTCCATTAAAAACCATTTGGAATAAATTTATTAGTTTCATTTTTTGTTGTAAGAGCCAAAGGAACTTTTTACCATTCTCTCAGCAGTGAAAGTGTATTTATCTTTAAGCGCCACAATAAAATAATTTAAACAATGAAGCAGAATCTGTGAACCATCAGTGTCCTGCTTCAATCTGAAAATAATCTAATTGACATCACATGTCAGCTAAAAAAAGAGTTACATTAATCCAATTAGTATTATTTAAATAGGAAAAGCTATTTTATGGGATTTTTTTCATTTTCTTTGTATATGTTTCTCTGAAGCTCTGCTTTATATCACCTGCCACTGAAAGCACCTGCAATAACCAAATTAAAGATGGCCGCCACAACTAACTGACCTTAGAGAACACAAAATTGGCTGTAATTCAGTCAGTTTTCAAGTTATTGAACTAAAATTTGGTGTAGTAGCTGAGAGGCATTCACAGCACATACTTGTTCTGCGAGCTTTTGGCTTAAAACTTTAGCATTAACTGTTGGGATCAACCCTTTTTGTCAGCAAAATATCTCATTTTACACAGGATAGGTTTTAATGAGACTTTCATAAAGTCATCACTGGGAATATATCTACAGCTGGAAAGCTTTTGGACTGAATCAAATTTGAGATGGCTGCCGTAGCTAATCGATCTGAGCTGGCAAAAACAACTCTTTACTCTGTTTAACGTAGTTATAATTTGATGTGGTAGTCGCTGAGAGTGATTTACAAAACATACTCTGAGTGTGAGATTGTTCAAAACAGTATTTTCAAGGTTTGACCAGAGCAGCTACAGCTCAGTCATCTTTTAGCATTATAGGTCTTTCAATGAATGTTAGTCTTTGGGTTTTTCTGTAGTTTTTACCTTTCACCTGTGAGTTTGCTCCCCGGCCACCAGATGGTGCTGTTTGTTCAGTGTGACTGCCTGAAGATCAAATTACCCTCTTCATGTTGCAGCCAGTTCACAGTGACTTAAACTTGACCCTAACCTTGCTTTAAATATATCCACACTTCCTTGGTTGTTACAGCTTGAGCTGCGTTGCCGTTTCACCCACTCGTCGCTCACATCTCGTGTCTTTATTTTTTGTCTTCTCTGGTGTGCCACTGCCTCCTGAATTCTTTCCCCAATCAAATCCCTCTTCAGCTAAAATTAGGCTGTGCCTTAAATAAAAAGAGGTAAACGTTTTTCCTCACCCGCCATGAGGTGCATTGTGATTGGCTGTTCTAAGAGGACACGCAGTCCAGTTTTAGAAAGTCTGTCTGTGGGCCGTTTGACTGGTGAGGCTTCTCTCCACAGTTACAGGCTGTGACAAGTGACGGACCTTTTCATCATAGTGCAAGAATACGTCATTGCAGTTAAATCCCCCACTTTTCACACTTTAGCTCTACTACTTTGATATGGATTTGGTGTACTAAACAAACATTATACCACCCTCTTATTTCTTTAAACCTTACCTCCAAGAAGCCAGAACTTCTTGTATTTTTAAAAGTGGTCTTGATCGATCGTTCTTCAGACCTTTGCTGTGAACTTTTAGCTGCTTTTCATCTCACTTTTTGCTCATACGTTGTACCTGAACATGACAACATGTAGTTGAAGTGTAAGCTTAAAGATAATGAAAGTGGACAAGTGGAGGACAAAATAAAGAATGTTTTTATTCTTTTTTTTTTTAAGTATTCCCACCTCTAGAACATTTACACATTTCATCTCGTCACAATTGTAGCACGGTGGATCAGTTGGTAGAGCTGTTGCCTCTCAGAGAGAAGGTCGCTGGATCGAGGCCTTTCTGGGGGGAGTTTGCATGTTCTCTCCGTGCATGCGTGGGTTTTCTCCGGGTACTCCAGTTTCCTCCCACAGACCAAAAACCTGCATGTTAGGCTGATTGGTAACTCTAAATTGTCCCTAGGTGTGAGTGAGAGAGAATGGTTGTTTGTCTCGTTTGTCTCTATGTGTCCCTGTGATGGACTTGTGACCTGTCCAGGGTGTCCCCTGACTCTCGCACAGTAATAGCTTGATATACAGTGATCCCCGTGACCCAAAAAGGAAGAAGGGGGTAAAGATAATGGATGGATGGATATTTACAAATGAAAAAAATTAAGGGGTGTGCTTTTGTGTTTAGCCCCCTTTACTCTGATACCCACAACTAGTGCAACCATTTTCCTTCAGAAGTCACCCGATCAGTAAATAGTGTGTGTAAATTCTGCTGTTCTGTTAAGACTTTGGAGGTTTGTTACAGAACATTAGAAATCAAACAGCATCATGAAGCCCAAGGAACCCACTAGACAGCTCAAAGATAAAGTTGTATAAACGTTTAAAGCTGGGTTAGGTTATGAAACAATAACTCAAGCTTTGAACATCTCATGAAGCACTGTTCAGTCCAACAAAGTTCATGCCCAATCATCCAGGTACCAAATCCAATAATTCTCAGTTAGGTCATCTGGACAGTTTCTTTTTTATAGAGACAGTCCATCATCTGAACATATAAAGAGAATGATTCATCTAAAAACCAGGACATGGCTGTCCACCTAAACTAACAGGCCTGGCAAAGGGGAGCATTAATCTGTCAAGCAACCAGCTCATGGTAACTCTGGAGAAGCTGCAAAGTTACAGAGAGCTACTGGTAACAACTATTAGTCAAGCACTCCACAAATCTGTCCTTTATAGACCATAAGACGGTCCAGTTTGTAGTTAATACAAACCATGTAGGGGCATAGTAAACACGTGGAACAATGTGCTTTGGTGAGATGAGAGCAAAATGTAACTTTTTGGCCTAAATGCAACACGTATGTGGCAGCAAACTAACAGTGCACATCACCCTGAACGCAATATCCCTGCTGTGAAATACATTGGGGGCAGCATCATGCTGTGGGGAGGCTTCTTTCTCCTGAGAGATGCAGCATCCTCCTGTAAATAATCTGCTGCATGGCAAGTTTTCAGCAAATAGCTCTTTGGGAAACACCTTGTCGGTGCTAAAATACTACTTTGTGTTTGTCAAAGTAAAGTGCGTTCTCAAATATAATTTTTTATCTACTCCAAGCACCAGTAAAACAACAGGTCTGTCAGGGTTTTCCCAGAGCTTGATATCCACCATGAATTGCAGAAGTTACCAAGAAAAAAGCTCAACACGAAGCTCACAGTAAATATTGACTCGGTATACATTTTATATATTTGCCAAAGACAAAAATCTAAACACAGGTTATAAATGGAAGGATGAACTGAGACTATTTAATGATTCGGGTAATTCTGTTCAATGGGTCAACAAAAACACAGAGTCACATTCAACATGTAAAACTCCCAAAGCACATTTCTGTTTCTAAACTTTGTGCTTGAGTTGTTTTATGTCCTCAAATTGAACAAACTTCTATGATTTTTTTTTATGACTCTTCTTAAAGAAACTGCCAGTAAGTAGAACCTGCATTTTTGTGAAGAACAATACGACAAGAAAAAAGTTATTTTAAAGAAATCAGAAGCAGACAAAGTACAAATTCAGAAATCTTTATTACCAGTAGTTGCTGTAAGTTCAGACACTACGTTTCAGTGAGATTTGTATTTTAGTGTGATAGTGGAGGACAATGATGTCTCATTTAAGGGTGTATTAGGAGAGCAGCTACAGCAGACTTCAGGTCTGTGGAATATTTCTTAAATATTCAGACCCGTTCCTGCGCTCCGAGTTACTACATTTTGGATTAACAGGTGCAACTTAGTGTTGAAGTGAGATAGGTTTGTATTCAGGTAATTTACAGGTACATAATGATGGAAAAATGTGGAAGAGGAGTGGTGGTTTGTGAAGAGCCATGTCCTTTTTATAATTGGACAATTTGAAGCTGTAAGATTAGTTTATTTTCCTTAAACCAATACGCACGCACCAGTGTCGTTTGATTAAACGGCACCCTGCATGCTTTTTGTGTTTATTTGTTCATGCAGTGGTTTTTCCTCTACTGCTGGCACTGAAGTGTCTGGATAATCCCCCTCTTGTTCAACGCTCGCTCCTGCCACAGTCTGTTGAGATTAGCCACTCCGTGAGAGACATTTATTTGTCTCTCCTTATTAGATTCCTGTCGCCTTTTGCTGCTTTGAGTGCCTTTCTCCTTCCGAAGGTGAGAAAGAGGTGCTCTGTGTCAATCATCCTGACACCAGCTGAGGGTCGAAGAAGGCAGTTCGGTGGTGGATAATCCTGAGCTCAAAGTTTGTTCGATTGTATGTGTTTGACAATATGAGAGACTGCGTGTGCTCCAGCCTTGCATGAGATCTGGATCCACAGGTAGGCCAGATGCTGCCTGTCATCTCCATTCAGTCAGTGAATTCAATGACCTTTGCAGCAACATGGCTGTTTGCCAGTGTACAGAGGTGCACCAGAAACTAATAATAATAACAACCATAACCTAAATTTATTTAATGCCTTTCATTAGACCCATGGATGCTTCTTAAACAAAAAGTCAGAATAAGAACAAACAACAAAAGAGTCAGTTCAAAGTTCAAGGAATGGGTTCTTTGAGTCCTGCCACCCAAGGAGGAAGCTCATTTCAGCTACGTATCCAGGATTCTCCTCCGTAGACTCACCATCTTAAGGTAGTGAAGGTGAACCTGGGAGGGTAGTGAAGACGAGTACCCCGTGAACCTGGGGGCTATGTGACTTTGATGACAGAGGAGCACCACATT